GCGTTACTCACTGAATTTTGTGGAATACCATAGCCTTCTTTACCCGTTGATTAAAAAATATTTTATATGAAATTTCTCATCTAAAACAATATTAAAAATCAGTCTTATAATCCTTAAAACTTTTGATCCTGAAAATGAATAATTTGCAGCCCAGCCAGTATGGTGGATATGACTCTTGGCTTGTAACCTAGTGGGCTTAGGTTCGAATCTCGTATAAGGCATGGTTATAGCTTCTTCGAGAAATTGTATTTGAGAACTGAATTTGTATTGTATGGTTCTCTCTGTTCTTCAATTCGTATTTCGTATGTATCACAGGATAAAAACTCTCGACAACAACGATGTTTAATTTCCAATAATTAAAATTTAGACTATAAACGGAATCAATGAAAACCACAAGGTGGAATAGTTTTAGAGAATCATACATCCTATGCTAAAATTCATTATTTTTTGTTAAAATTATTCCTAAAACTCAGTTATATATTTTAAATAGTCTGTTAATAATTTAGCCAAGAAGAAATATTTAAATACATTTAATTAGAAAAAGAAAAAGATTAATAAAAAATAAAGTCTTCAGTTATTTTAAGAAAAGGGAAAAAAACTTCCCTTAAGTGAAAAAGTCTTTTGAAAATGTTTTTGGTGGCTAAGCGATTAGAGCGTAATGTGTGCAGGAACGAATATTTTAACTAATATTAACCTTTGTTCACATTAAACCATTGTTCATTGAAAAATGAAAACTATATAACACAAAAACCGGAAAGTAAGTAAAATATTTCTTTAAACTAAACTTAACATTCTTTTTTCTTGCTATTCAATTGACTGTCGTTAACTTTTACTTTGCTTTTTCTAACTAGCATCTTGCTTTTTTGGCTTCATTCTTACTTTTATGACTGTCATTATGGTTAAAATGCTGCATAGTTTAGTAAAATAGTAAATGATGAGAAAAGAACCGTACTTTAATGAGTTTTTAATGAATTTGAACATTGTGAATGAGAGATTTTTACTAACAGTAGATTGAGTAATTTTTCTATTTATTTCATTTTTCTCGTATGCCGGTTCCAAAACATAGTGTGAGGAAAGCCATTAGCCATTTGAAGGGTACGCGTGTAATTGCCTTGAAAATTGACGGAAAAGTTTCCTAAAATTATATTTAACAACCATTGTTATCTCATTATTTTTAGTCAGTTTAAAAATGTTACTGAAAACGCAACTTCGCGTTTGCAAATGATTGGAATTTCTTTTAATGAAAATAAGAAATATATTGAATCTATATCTATAATGTTACTTAAAAAAATTGTTAACTATTCACAAAATTATCCACCAATAAGAAAACGAATCGAGTGGAAAATCATTTAATTTTTCAGTTTTTAATGAGTTCTATTCGGGTCTACTAATCTTCTTGGGGAAAATATTCTTTAACTGTGATCTTAGTTTAAAAACCGCTTTCCTTAGACATTAATTGATTTATTTTAAGCAAATGTAAGTACTATTTAATTGCCTATCATTGAGTATGCGGGTTAAAGGTAAAGTGTCGATCGTAAAGCCGAATTACAAGTGATAGTAAACGTAAACAGTGACTGTTGGTCGTGCATCTTAAGATTAATATTCGACAAAGAATCCTTCTGAAAGTGGCTAGGTAATCAACCCCGGAACTGACCGAGATATCTGGCTTCAATAAGGACCATACAGGGAGCTTCCACTCCAGAGAAGTACTTTCGCTAATTTAGTTATCCGATTGCGGGTTAGGATTTCGTAGGAATCCCAGAGTTAGAAGTTATAAAAGTGTATTTTCATAAAGTGCTAAAGATTAAATAAAATTAGCTAATTTATGATCATATGTGCTTCTTCCTCAAACCCATTCAAGCCTACTACCTTCGGGCTGCTACAAATTTATCACACCAAAAGTTATACGTTTATGAAAATATAGAACGAAAGAAAATTAAGTTATGTGAAGTTTCATATTTGCAAATGTCTCTTAAAATTTTGAAATAATGAAGAAAACGCGTAGTATAAATAACATTATGTACATACTTTAAATAGAGTAATTACGGTTGGATTAAGTTAAACATACAATTCTTGTAACAAGACAATTATTTACAAGGGAGGGCTAAAGGCAAGTAAAAATCAGTGAAAACATTGTCAAAAAGGACGCATTGAATTCATTCTAACAGTTCATCTCGTCGTTCTTGTATCACGTTTCCTCAAACTGCCTTGTCAACTTTATGGCGTTCTCCTGTCTATTACGTCAGCGTGGAATATAGGGAGTACAATGCTCAAATATCTGTTCCTGTATCGACATATGCTCATATGTGACATTTTCGCTTACATTAGATTTACTTTTTAATTCAAGTATTTAATAAACAACGAAATTCACATAAATTTTTTCGAATTGTTCCTTCTTTTACGAGGGTAACTCTAAAGTTTTTGATACATGCACATATGAAGTTACAAAATAAATAAATAGATACATTTTTATTATTTTTTAAATAACAGTTTAATTTAAAAATAAAGAGTATTTTAACACAGCAGACGATTTTTTACTGACTTACTTCAAGTTATTTAGCGTAAGATTAGCTTTCAAGTTATTTTAAACAGAAGAGAAAATCGACTTGTGAGAATATTATCGAGTTATGAATTTCTATAACTTTAAAGCACGATTAAATCAAGATGAATGCAATCACAGACTGCAATTAAGATTTGGTGACGAATCTTTATGGCCTACTACTGTATTCAGATGGTTTGAAGAATTTTGCAGAGGTCGCAATTCTCATCAGTGTGAGGAACGCACAGAAAGGCCATGGAGGGAAGTAAACCCGGATAATGTGTCTGCTGTACGAAAAATGTTAATGGACGATAATCTCTAAGCCTGCCATATGATACAGAAGAAGCTTAACATTGAATCCACAGCTATACATAAAAATTATTCAAGAAAAATAATGTATGAAAGAAGTAGTTTGCTTTGGGTTCCCCATAATCTAATTCAGCACCAAAAACAAGAATGTGTCAGAATCAGTAAAGAAACCCTTAAATTACAAAAGGATGGTGGCCATCGCATCATTTCTAAAATTGTAAAGGACGATGAAATGTACATACCATTGTTTGACGTTCCAACACGTCAAGAAAGCAAAGTATGGGTCTTTGAAGATGATCCCTTGCCGACAATGGTGAAAAGACAGCAACCAATGAAAAAAGTAATGTATGCCATTTTCTTCAGAAGTACGGGATTGATCAAAGCCATCAAGTTGGAAGGACAGAAGACCGTAAGAGCAAAATGGTATACCACTAAATGTCTTCCAGAAATTTTCCAAGAAGTTAATGGTAGGGGACTAATGCATCACCATGACAATGCATCTTCCTCATACAGCCGGATTAATAGTTGCCTTTCTTAATCAAAAACAAATTAAAGGTATAGAAGATGAACCTTATTCTCCGGATCTACCTATGTGTGGCTTTCTTTCCGTTATATTTAAATCTAAAAAATAACGTACTTCGACGTTCTTTTCTTTCAGAAGAAGAGATGCGAATATTGACGTGGCTATAAATGCATTTATTTCATCAACTCCTAGAAATAATTGATTTGAGGCATTACATCTTTGGAAATTTCGTTTACAAAAAGTCATTGATGCTGGAGGAGACTACTTTGTACACTCCTGAAGTTTTGTAATTATAACTTTAAAACATGGATGTATTTTTCAAAAAATTCAGAATGACCCTCGTATAATGATGTTAAATCCGAATTCTTTTTAAAAAAATGTTTTCTCTATAGATTTTAAATTATTTTATAAAAGGAAAAAAGAAAATAATTTACAGTTTCTGTCATCCGATAAGCACGAATTTTATAAGTGTAACAAAAACAAAAACAAAAATATTGTGAGTACAATTTTAAATCTGTCAGAATGAAGCTATGCTAACAATTTAATAAGGATAATACAACTCATAACATACGAAAAAAATGAAATGGAAATGTTTTTTTTTTTTAAATTATAAACTTCAAACACTTTTTTTTTAAATTTTTGTTTAATGCTTATTGTTATCAGTTTCTTCTAAAATCAGAAGGATCACTCCTTGTTGTATAAAATCGATACATGGCCATTTAATTTACAAAACACATAAATCGCCACAATGCAAAAGTAAAGCAAAAACACTTGATAAAAAAATTTTACTACTTTCTTACATTCATATTAAGGAATTTCAATTTCATAATGATAAATTCAATTTTTATAGAAATATATATAAGGTTCATTCAAATGAAACAAAGTCAGTATGTCTAACTTTGCCTTACACATAAGGTGGCGCCACGTCACTGCGTGTGAGGTGGCACCATCTATCGGTAGTGACACTGACGCATGCGCAACGTTTGACGTTCCATAGTGACAGTATGGTTTCACGGGGAAGAGAAGATGGTCACACACGTTATCGTCCACTGATGAACATGCAGGCGAGTAAGAAAGAACAAAAAAAAAGTGTGTGTGTACTTATGTAGGCACGTAAGAAGTTCTACTTCTTTGGCGTAACAAGATTAAAATCTTTCTAAAAATCTTTTGCAGGACAAGCTGGGCCCAGGACGAAAGGCGGTCACGAGCAGAGTTGAGCGACACTAACATTCAGTCAATCGGACCAGCCAAACCTGAGATAATCGATTTAAATAAATTTAAACACCCCCGCTCAGAGACAATAGGACCAATAATATGGGGAGGGAGTCGAAGGTGGGAATGATCTGTCCCGTTTTACATATTTCTAGACAAACCATTTTCATATACGTTCCTACGAAACACAAAGCAAAGATTTGCTGACGAGGGTGTATAGCTCAGTGGTAGAGCATTCGACTGCAGATCGAGTGGTCCCCGGTTAAAACCCGGGAGTCTTTTTCTTCAGAGAAATGAAGAGAAAATTTTCTTTGAGGATTTTGAAGGCGGGGATGATCTGTCCCATTCTGCATATTTCTAGATAAAGCATCTTCGTATCCGTTCCTACGGAACGCAAAGCAAAAGGCTCTCTGACACGGGGTGTATAGCTCTGTGGTACAGCATTCGACTGCATATCGGGAGGTCCCTGGTTCAAACTCGGGTGCCCCCATTTTCAGGGAAGTGAACAGAAGCAATTTTTTTTGAGAATTTAGAAGGCGGCAATGATCTGTCCCGTTCTGTATATTTCTAGACTAAGCATTTTCGTATACGTTTCTACGGAACACAAAGCAAAATTTCGCTGACGCGGATGTATAGCTCAGTGGTAGAGCGTTCGGCTGCAAATCGAGATGTCTCTGGTTCGAATCCGGGTGTCCCCTTCTTCAGGGAAGTGAAGAGAAATATTTTTCGGAGAATTTCGAAGACGGGAATGATTTGTTCCGTTCTGTATATTTCTAGACAAAGGATTTTTGCATCCATGACGGTGTGCGCGCGCATTGTAAAAATTTACCCTCTACCTATTTCTCTAACGCCCCAAAAGAAGTATAACTTCAAAAGGCGTGATTCGATTTTTTTCCGACGGAGGGAGTTAGAGGCCGTGAAATGCATCGACTAATGAAAGCTGTGTACGGTGAGTCAGTCTGTGTCGTTCAAGTGTTGTGGAATAGCGCAAACGATTTCGTGAGAGGCGCGAGTTACTGAAAGACAATTCTCGACCTGGACATGCTCATCGTATCATCACACCGGAAATGATAGCGGAACTGAATGTTTTAGTCTTGGACAGCCGCAGAATCACTGTGGACCAGATCCATCGGTTACTGGGTATTAGCGTGGGCACCACTCACACCATAATGCATCAACACTTGAACTTTCGAAAAATTTGTGCGCACTGGGTTCCCTATCAACTGACCGCCGAACAGCGCAATATTCGAATGGCGCTGTCTCTTTGAGTCATCTGCAACCTTATCATGAGGTGGAATACGGCCTTCTGTTGCAAATTGTCACTGGTGACGAAACATGGAAGATCCAAGCTTTGATCCGACAGCAACCTACTAGCTTCTTCAAAGGTAGAATCGACCGGCTAGTGCTGCAATGGGATAAATGTGTCAACAGTTTTGGCTATTTTTGAGTTGTGTACTGTGTATAACTACATTTTTGAGTTAATAAAATCGTTACCGTAACTTTCCAGTAGTGGCCGAGTTTCATTTGAATGCCCGTTACATGAAGGAAAAGAGCTAAATCATATAACGATGGGGGCCTAATTATTAAAAGTGACATTTGAAAAAAAAATTGAAATACAGTCGAACCTCTATATAACGAACCTCTATATCGCGAAATTTTTCCTGGAACCTTGAACATTTCAAGATTTTCTTCGTAAAACAATCTCTCTATAGCATTTTATATACAACGATTTTTTTATTTTGTGATTCAATTTTTGTTCTCCCTTTTTTTCAAACTATTTCTGAAAAAAATTTCAAGTTATTCTCTCTTTAACACATTTTATGGTGATCATAAATCTTGAACTGATTTTATTAGATTTCAACTCGCCGAGAGTAATAGAGCTCTGGACGTTTCATCTAAGAAGTTCAACGCTTAATCCTCATTGCCCAGTTCACTAGAAACATTTTCGATATCCTCTTTCACACACAGTGGATTTTTACCCGTGTTCTAATTATAAAATAATGTATGTTTAATATTACACTTGTATGCTTTAAATTATAAAATGTCCTTAAAACTCATTAATTTTTGTATACATTTATTTTCTTAACATTGGAAATACAGTTAATTCTTTGACATTCTTTTTTCCTGTTTTCCTTGCAGTTTTTCTTTCTTTCTTTCTTTTTTGATGAGTTAGATGTATAAAATAAACATATATTAATTTTAAAAAGGTGTGAATAATTCCTTTTTTTAGTATATAGTGTTTATGAATTTAAAATTTGGTTTATGGGGTTTATAAAGTATATTAAAAGATGAAACTCTATATAACGAATTTTTATCCGGGAATTAGCGACTTCGTTATATAGAGATCCGACTGCATTTGAAATTTATACAGGAAAAGCCTGACTCAAAAGTACAAGTTTAAGTAAAAGAAAACAATTTCGTTTGAATGATTAAAATAATATCTTGGTCAGATTGTGAAGATTTGAGTAAATTGTTTCGGCTTCGTTGAAAGAAATATAATATAAAAAGCACATAGGGAGGACATTTGCAACTCAGTTAATGTGCGTCATCTAATCGCTTGCAATAAATCCACGGTTTAAAATAATTTAAAAGATGACTATTTCATATATAATTGTGCAATTTATATTAAAAAAAATTACTGCGTACTTTATTTATCCATAGAGATCATGTGCGTAATAGAGATGTTAGGTAAAGATAAATTTTAAAAATATGTAATATAAATTCAATTATAATAAATTTCGAACCTTTTTTCATTGAAATTCATACTGTCCGTACGTTCAAAACAGGAGAAAAAATAGTTTAATCTCTTTTCATTCATAATAGCTACTAAATTTGAAAAACTAATTAGGTAATGTGGCTTTACAATGATGATAGATAACCTACAATAAGCTTATTTGTAAGTAACAAACCTCGTAGAAGGAAGATACTTTTGAAATATATATTGCCCATGAAATGAAAAACAAACAAACATAATAAGTATTTTCAGATATATAATCTCTTTAAAAATAAGCAAGTAATATAAAATAAAAAAAAATTAAGTCAATTCCTACTCAGGTCAACAAAGAAAAATTTTATTTTACTTACTTTTTATTAAATAGTTACAATTAATAAAAATATGTATATACATATGACATAATCACACTATTGAGTGGCAAAATATAAAATGTGATTTTCCTTTCTATATATGGTGATGGAGAATTATTTTTGTTTGTTACTATTTATTTCTTCGTGAATCATATTTTCAAAAATTAGGCCATCCCGGGTAGTATTCGAAACCACGACCTTTGAATTATAATTTCAATGCGCTATCCATTGCTCTACGAGAACACAACATGCGATTTTCCTTTCTATATATGCTGTTGGACTATTATTTTTGTTGGTTATTATTTATTCATTTTTTAATTTAATTATTGAACTAATATTTGAAAAAAACTGAATTAACATCAAGGGTCATCCA